CTCTAAGGGATTTTAAAACTCAAACTCATGGAATATCTTTTAAGTGATTTAGGCATGGCATTGACAGGTTTTTTAATAATCTCTTTGGTTTTGCACTGCAGAAATAAGCTCTGAAATTGTTCTTTCAGTAAGTGTTCGAGGTGAATGTTGCTTTCACATGGGATCCAGACACTGAAGCTGAACCCTGCTGTTAGTCTCTTTAAAGATACTGTTTTGTGGAATTTAGCACAGTACAGGCAATGAGGAGTGGCTGTTTTTGTCAGGAAAGGCAGTTGCTGTAATCAGAAAAAGATTTCAGGTATGGCACATTCTGGATACAATCGGATGGCAAAATTATGGTTCATAATCTTGGACATACAATTGCCTTTGTGGCACAGTAAAAGTCATCCAATATTTTGCTGAACAGGTGCATCAGTGTCCATTGTAAGTGTTCACATGTGAAATACACCACTCCCTTTCAGATTGGTAACAAATTATTTCCCATCTACAGGATTTCAGGTTCAGGAATCTGCCATCTACCCAAGGATAATCCAAGCAGCCTTGGCCCAAAAGCACAGCAAGCTCTCAGTCCACCCAACCATATTTGGAGAGAGACACCTTCCTGAGCTGCTGGCATCAGTGAGCAGCATTGGTGCCTCTGAGCTGTCCCTGGGACATGTCACCAGAGCCCTGTGCCGTGGCCTTGTGGAGAACCTCTGCTCCATGTTACCTGTGCAGCACCTGGAGGAGGTGGGGGTGAGGAGGATCCTGGGCAGCGGCAGCGCCCTTGCCAGGAATGAGGTGCTGAGGCAGGAAGTGGAGAGGATTTTTCCATTCCCTGTGGTTTACGGGAAGGATGTGGATGCTGCTGTGGGGGCAGCTATGGTGATGTTTCAGAGTAAATAAAGTCATTATTTGGAATGGCCTGAGATGCAGCTTCTGTTTTTTTCTGACTCTATAGTGGTTTTTTTCACTTTATTCCACATACTGTCTCACTCATTACAGTGGGACAGAACCCCTGCATTTAATGTCTGCCTCTCCTGGGTCTGCATATTTTGTTGCTGTGTCATTCCCATTTGTGAAATGAGAAGTAATTATCACATTAAATTTATCTGAGTGACTGGGAAAGATCCATTAACTTCCTGCATAAAAAGACACTTCTTGCAAGGCTCATTTTCCTGGTAGGAAACATGTTGGAAAGGACTGGGAGAGATAAGCTGCTGTCTGTAACTTGTCTGATGCTTTGTGAACTCCCTTAAAATTTCCAAGTTTTATCCCCTGTGTTATGCTCTTAGAGTTTTTCTTCTCCTAGTCTTTATTTTAATGTTAAAACATTTATACTTTACTGTCTATGTATACGTTTCTTTTGCTCAAATGACATTGGGAAGCAAGTAATATGTTTCATGTTATCTGCATATAGTTTCATTCCTAGGAAGTACAGGTTTTCACTGGAATATGGACATGGATTCCACTCTTGCTCATTAGGAACATCAGGACTGACATTTTGATGAGGAGAAAGCTGTGCTGAGTTCTGAGATCTTAATTACAGAGATAGCTTCATTTCCATTCCATGTCATGTTTAGGGAACTATTGGCACGTTACAGAGAAAATGTAGACTAAAGGTGTTGGAAAAAGTCTGAATTTGTTATATGTTGTTTTCCCTCTTGCATTATTATAATTTTTATCAGCAGGTCTGCTTTAATTTTTATTGTATAACAAGAAAGAGCTGATGATGCTGTTGCATCAAAAGCTTTTGCAGCATTGTGGATGCTGCTGAGGACCTACCTATTGGTAATCTATATTTATGCATTAATAAACAGCCTTGTTACTCTGAGTACCACAAATCTAATTAGTTTGATATTAAATAGGCAGATAGATAATTCTTTTATATATTCATGGATAGATGGCAAGACTAGAGAGACACCCATCTTTTGCAAAACAAGAGACAGGTAATGTCATTGAATAATTTCAGATTGTACTCAAAATCTCAGGAAGTTGAGGGGTTGCTCCCAACCTAACAGCCTCTGGAAAAGCTGTTTCTCTAGACTAGTTTTTGCAGAAGAAAAATCTTTTGTAAATTATATATTTAGCAATACATGACACAGCTCTGATTTTTTGAGGGTGTTAATCCTGGATTAGATAAAATTGGGTTTTTTTCCTCATAACATTAATGTTTAGAGGCTGACTGTTACATATATATATATATAAAATTTAACAAAAAATAGGAGAAACATGAAACAATAAAAAGTCTTTAGGACTTACTGGTTCTTCCTCAACTCTGTTCTGAATCAGCTTATCATTAAAATATTTATCTTTAAATCAGCCACCCAAGAAAGGTGTCCAGAAAGGTGGTCGTGGTATATTTTACAAAGTTCTTGTGATCCCTAGAAACAATTGCTGTCTGGTGGTTTGGGTGCTGTTTTTTTTTGTTTTTTTTGCAAACTTGAGTGTATTTACAAAGAGGAAATCTGGAGAAGAATATCCATTACTAAATGCAATTAAAGGGGAGAGAAAAACAACAGCAACTTACTGCAATTCTTGTAAAGAGCTTGGCTAAACCTCTGGGAATAGAAGCCACTGATGCTTCTGGTTCCAGAATTGTTCTTAATTATCTTATTGCTCTATTCTCTGTTTTTCCAGTGAACTTCCCTTGGTTCTAAAAATCATCACATTTTGCAGACAAATGAAGTGGAGAAGCAAACTCTGAGGGCTTTGCAGTCCAGGCACCTTGGAGGAGGAATATCTGGCACCAAATTCCTGTAGATCAGTGGGTGTTTACTGAGACTGGACTATTTTTCAGAAGACAGGATTTTGGTCAGTATTTGTAAGTTCTGATTTGTAAGTTCTGCATGTATATTTGAATAACATGGTTGGTTATTTCTAAATTCTATTATTTGTGATGTGGCAAGACATTCTATCCAAAATATTTCCGTATTTATTGTATCAAACTTCTGTGTACATGGGTTTCAAAGAGTTCAGGTATATTATGCATTTTTTAAACTAGATAATGCTTATTATTTTTTTTTTTCCATCCTTCCACAGATTTGTGAAGGTTATTTTCCTTTTAGATTCCTACTCATGAGGAAATGCAGCTTTGTCTTCATTATCAAATATATTACCAGCAGGGTTTTGAAAGGAAAGCACGTATAATGTAGGTTTGAGCAATTGCCAGGAGACAGGATTGAGCCTATTCTGCACATTTATATTTATTCTGTGGAAAATAAGTGATTGTGTGTTCTGTAGCCAATCCCTGATGATTTTGGCTCAATCCATGTGAGATCAAATAAGACAAAATTAAAATTGTACATGACTGTATTTCCACTGTATTTTTTTCTATATTTTATAGAACTGTTTTTATTCCTTTTTCATTGTAATAATAATTCTACTGTAATTTTAATATCTTGTTCCAAATAGAAATATTTTTATTTCTTATTTTTAGGATAATTAAGTTAATAAGATGTTATTTTTTCAGAGTGATTCTAAGGAGACAAAGAACGTGAAAGGTGAGCAAGTTAAATTGCAGTCTTTAGTATTTTATCTGTGCTATGCTGGTTTGCTTCCAGTAACCCTAAATGTGCAAGTTTGCAAATTGATGTTTTCTTTACATGTATATTGTACAAAATTATAGAAAATGCAAATGAAAAAATTTTCTTTCCTGTCCTGCTTTTACAGAAAAATGTAAGTTACCCTTGATGTAAATATGAATTATTCCCACAGAACTGAAAATCCAGCTTTAATTCAGGTTTGCACACAACCCTCAGAATGTTTCTCTTGTGAAGAGAAACAACCTTGAAGCATGTTCATGATGTTGTTTTCACACAGACTGTACAGAGAAAATTACTGACAACTCTGATGTGGTTTATAATTTGAGGCTTTTTAAAGATTTAGTGACATTCCTGTGCTCAAAGCTGTAGGATTTCCAAGCAATGTAGAATTTCAGAGCGTGTCTAAAGGCAGCTGTGCAACAATTCAGATATGATGTGTTCCTGTCTCCACTGCTGGAATTCCAGGATATTTTACATTCACTGGCATGAAGACAATATTTGTCTGATTAAAATGGGTTGATAAGAAACCAAACAAAAAACAGGGCAACCTGTCCCGCCTTCAGCAGATTGTGTTATCTGTGAGGATGGGGAGGCCCTGGCACAGGCTGCCCAGAGAAACTGTGGCTGCCCCATTCTTGGAAGTGTCCAAGGCAAGTTTGGACAGGGCTTGGAGCAACTCTGGATAATGGAAGGTGTCCCTGCTCATGGCAGAGGGGTGGAACTGGATGAGCTCTAACATCTGTTCCCACCCAAACCATTCTCTGATTGTGTATTTGTTGCTTGTGTCATGTTTTGTGTGGTTGTGAATCAGACAAGATCAGCCGTGTGGTTGTTACAGTCTCATCTTATCTGTGGTAACTTCTTCCTCTCTGTTTCTGTGCCTCATGTCTGAGGTGACACATCCCTCAAGGATCACACACTCCAATTTCCTTCAGGCACTGCCATAACTCTGGCAAAGTCCTTCAGGGATCATTTTCCTGGGTGCAGGAAGCCCTCTGTACTCGGCATCCCAGAGATCCGGTTATGGCACAAGCAGGGCTTTTTCACATCCCTGATAGAATCATGAGATGGTTTGTGGCACAAACCAGTCAGAGAGTAGAGAAGAAAAGCAGAGATTGTTGGGGTTTGAGATTGTTCAGGCTTTGCCACTGATTGGAGGATGAGGCACTGGTTTTATGCAGAGGTAGTTGAGGCTCAGCTCTGCAGTGAAATGGACAGGAAGCTCTGGGATGCTCTGGTTTGCTTTTGCCATTCTGGAATGGGTAAGGGCAGTGGGAACAGGAACAAATGGAATAAAGACCCTACTAACTGTTCTGGCTGTGGGTACAGTGAGAATGTGTCCATCTGCCTCATTTCTGGGATGAGAGAAACCAATCCACTCACTGATATTTCTGGAAAACATTGTTAGGCAAGAGGGGACTCATGGTCCTGTATGTGCTGACTTGAGGTGTTTGTGTCCCTCCTCACAGTCTGCTGGCTCATCATGTCCTCCATTCTTGGGAAGATGAAGAAGTTTGGCAGTTTTGACATGGAGGAATCTGAAGTGACAGATGAACACGTGGATGGGGAGGACTCTGTCCAGGAAACCCCTGACAACCCCCAGGGCCCACTCAGCACCAAGGTGCAACCACCCAAAAGCAACATTTTTGCAAGACGGGGCCGCTTTGTGATGGGGGACAGTGACAAGGACATGGCTCCCATGGACTCCTTCTGCCAGATGGATCACCTGATGGCACCTTCTGTCATCAAATTCCATGTGAATTTGGAGAGGGGCAAACTTCACAAGTAAGTTTGCCTTGTGTAATGAGTAGTTGAAAACTCCAGGCTGTAGTTCTTAGAGCAGCATTTGTTCCCTCCACTTGAGCATGACCATTTTTTCAGTTTCACTATTTTCTATGCCAAATTAAAGAGTGTTGCAATTGAAAGTGACAATAACTGTTGTCTCTTGACATCTCTAAAAATCTCTGTCTCCATGGATATTATGCCCAAAATTGGCAGTAGGCCTCAGTTCACTTGCTTGAGGCTGCTCAGTGAATGGACATGGCTCAGAGTGAGAACAAGGCCTGGCTTCAGGCTTGCAGTTACACTGCCAAACTTCAATGCCTCTTTGAAGACTTGTTCTCAGCTTTTCAGCAACAGAATCATAATTTTATCAGGGGAGTTGCTTGCAGACTTTGTTCTTTTAGTCTTTGCAGATGTACCTACTCTAATCTGCACTGTTTACTGCTTCACATGAGCAAATGAGGAACAGTGTTCTGGTAGTTGATGAAAAGCCTGCTAAATATCTGACTTTAGGTAACTGACATTTCCCCTTGTTAGGCTCCTATCTACAGATTCCATCACAGGCTGCTCAGAAAAAGCTTTCAAATTTTATGACCGCAGAAGGATCTTTGATGCTGTAGCCCAAGGCAACACAAAAGACCTCAGTGACCTGCTACTCTACCTTAATAGAACCTTCAAGCATCTCACAGATGAGGAGTTCAAAGGTACCCTTTAGTGTCACATACCTTGAGTTGCCCTCCTCTCCTTCCAGTAGTGCTCCTGAGATGAAAATAAAAAAAGATAATTATGTTACATGTCTGCAGGAGGTCCTTTAATAGCCCTATTGATTAGGCAACCCATTGATTGGAAGGTTACAGGAGCTGAAATTTCCTGTGAAACACTAAATAAGGTTTCTTGTCTTTTGAAAAGAACCTCATTAATTCCTGTTTGCCCTGGTATAGATGGTGGGTTTGTAACCACTCTATATACCTGTAATTTTTTGTTTTACAGAGCCTGAAACTGGCAAAACCTGTTTACTGAAAGCCATGCTGAATCTACATGATGGGAAAAATGATACCATTCCCTTGCTGCTGGATATTGCAAGGAAAACTGGAACTCTGAAAGAGTTTGTTAATGCAGAATATACTGACAACTACTACAAGGGTGAGAGAAACAGTTGCTGCAGTGGATGCTTAGGGTGCTCAGACTGAAATGGGGTCAGGCAGAGCTCTCAAAGTCTTGTGCATGAGGCCTTATGCACTCCAAAGTTCCAGTATGTGACTGACAATCTGTGCATATGTGCTGGGGCTGTGCCCTGTTAGGTGCAAGATTCTGCCATTTTTGGTACACAATGATTTAATGACTTGCATTTGCTGTTTGTGTGGTTTTTTCCTGTTCAGTTCTAGAGTTCTTTAGCTTGTAGAGCTCTCAGTTCCAGCATCCAGAGCTGAGGGAATTGCTCTGCTGAATGCTCTCAGTCTGTACTAAATGTTGAGGATTTCTGTCTGATGAGTGACTGTCTCTGTAGGCCAGACTGCTCTTCACATCGCCATCGAGAGGAGGAACATGTACCTGGTGAAGCTCTTGGTCCAGAATGGAGCAGATGTTCATGCCAGAGCCTGTGGGGAGTTCTTCAGGAAAATCAAAGGGAAATCTGGCTTTTATTTTGGTAGGAGTGAGCACAGTATGGTCTTTATTGATTGAGTTGTCCTAGCAGCATCCCAAGTGGAAGCTGTTAAATAATCCTGTTTATGTGGGACTGGAGGCTCAGAAGTACCAGATGGGCTGTTCCACCTTTAAGCCAAATATTTCCTGCCAAAGACCGAGATAATAAAGAAACACAGTTGGTAGCTGATGGTGTTCAGTGTGAGCCTGGTGTCAGCTTTCCTTTGTTCTCTGAGCACTGTATCCTTTGTCACCTGCTCCTGTCCTGGCAGGGTTTTTTTAAGCAGCTGTGTTCCTGTGATGTAGTTAAACCAAAGAAAACCTATTTTAACAGCTATCACAAGAATTGGTGCTGTTCCAGATGGAGAAATTAATCTTTTCTCGTGGTGAAAGATGAAAACAATGTGATGTTTCTGTTTATGCATCTCTAGTACTGGGCTTCCTGACCACTCCTTCCCATTGCTTGCCATAGGAGAGCTTCCTTTGTCCCTGGCTGCCTGTACCAACCAGCTCTGCATTGTGAAATTCCTCCTGGAGAATCCCTACCAGGCAGCCAACATCACTGCTGAGGACTCCATGGGCAACATGGTCCTGCACACACTGGTGGAGATTGCAGATAACACAAAGGATAACACCAAGTTTGTAACCAAGATGTATAATAACATATTGATCCTTGGTGCCAAAATTAATCCCATCCTCAAGCTGGAAGAGCTCACCAACAAGAAAGGGCTGACTCCTTTAACTCTGGCAGCCAAAACAGGGAAGATAGGGGTAGGTGAACAAAGTTGTTTGACTGTCCCATTGCTGTATCACATTATAGAGAGAATGTGTAAAACATTTATGCAGAATGGATTTTAGGACTTCATTATTGAGGCTTTTTAATTAAGAGGAACTGATGCTGCAGTTTAACTGCTCAGTCCTTAAAGGCTACAATGTGTGAGTGTGTCTGTGCCCAGCTGGTGTTATTCACGCACCACTGGTATGAAAGGCAGCCCCAGAGGAAACAGAAAGTGGGTCTCTGATTTAATCTGAACCACTGGAGCTCTTTTACTTTTGACTGGCTGATGTAACTCATCTTCTGGCAGTCCCCATTCAAAGTGATTGTGCTCAGAGGTGTGTAACATCTCTGCTTTTCTCTTGCAGTTTTGAAACAGATAATGCCAAGCTGTAAGAGGTGTTTGTATTTCCTGTCTCACATCACACAGTGAGGAAATCAACTGTGTTTATTTCAGACTGTGATCTCTGCAGTGCTCCAGTGGTTTGGCTTCAGCTCAGTTGAACTAGGAAGAAATTACCCCTCCTGTGTTGTGGAGAGGCTGAGGAATGAGAAGTCCATTAGCACTGAAACGTTGGTTGTATTGTTCTTTTGCAATTAGATTTTCGCTTACATCCTCAGACGGGAGATCAAAGACCCTGAGTGCAGACACTTGTCCAGGAAGTTCACTGAATGGGCCTATGGACCTGTCCACTCCTCTCTTTATGACCTGTCCTGTATAGACACCTGTGAGAAAAATTCAGTGCTTGAGATCCTTGCCTACAGCAGTGAGACACCAGTGAGTACTGCACCTCCTTGGCTGGGGAAAGCTTCATGTTCCACACAGAGCACCTTTTCCCTTAGTTCCATGAAACAGCAACCTCCTACCCTGAGCTTAAGGGAACTAGAGGGATCATTTGCTGAAGATTTATAAAATATGTGTTTTTTCAAATTCGAGTATATTCTGGTCCTAGCAAAATTCTCCTTTTTCTCCTGCACAGAACCGTCATGAGATGCTGCTGGTGGAACCCCTTAACAGGCTGCTGCAAGACAAGTGGGACCGGTTTGTCAAGCACTTGTTTTACTTCAACTTCTTTGTCTACACCATGCACATCACCATCCTCACTGCAGCTGCTTACTACAGACCTGTACAGAAGAATGAAAAGGTACATTACTCCTGTCATGTGTCAGGGGAACCACCCATTGCATGATATCCCTTGCTGCAGCCCACTGAGAAACTTAACTGTTCCCCCAGAAATGGAATTGCTTCCAGCTACTGGCAAGGCCAGGTCTTTCCTATCTCCAGTTCTGCTGAACATATGTTTTCCTGTGTTCTACAGCCTCCCTTCACCTTTGGTTACAGCACTGGGGAATATTTTCGAGTAGCTGGAGAGATCCTGAGTGTACTGGGAGGCCTATATTTTTTTTTAAGAGGGGTAAGATATTTGAAAGTTTTCCTTTCCCTGTTTGGGTAGGTGCAGAAGAGAAGCAAACAAGCTTTTCCTATTCATGAGCATTGACTGCTTAGATAATCCATGTTTTAGTCAAGAGGTACAGATGATTTTCCTTGAGCTGGTGTTACTGGAAAGGTAGATCTTGCACCAGTGTTGGTTTTGAACCATTCTTATGAGGTGTTTTATGGGTACCAGCTCCCTGATACATGGCTCAGTGATTAGTTAATTAATTCACAGGAGATACTTAATATTTCCTTGATGCAAACCTGGTCTTTGTTCCCTTTTCAGATCCAGTATTTCGTGCAGAGGCGCCCATCACTCAGGACACTGATAGTTGATGGCTACAGTGAGGTTCTTTTGTAAGCTCTAATATCTTTGATTGCATCTCAGCCTGAAACAGATGAATGTGTGGGATCTATAGTTCAGGCTGAAGCCACCTGTAATAGGAGCTTTGCTGTAATTCCTGGGTCTTTACAACAGTAGAGTTGCCAGTGGTTATCACTGAACAAATGGGTCTGGATCAGTGACCTCCTGTGGAGGTAAAGCAAATTAAGTGTCTGAATGTTCAGTGTGTCAGGCAGCAGAGTTAGGAATAGATCTCCAAGTGGGATTTATGTATTGTTTATGCAGAAATCCTCCCATAAGGGAGCTTTGCCTCTCCAAGGCCCTTTCTCTTCCCAGCTGGACAGTCCCTTGTTCTGCTCTGTTCCCAGCACCTGTGGCCAGCTCAGCCTTCTGTGTTCACGCCACTCTTGTCTTCCAGCTTTGTCCACTCCCTGCTCCTGCTGAGCTCTGTGGTGCTGTACTTCTGTGGCCAGGAGCTCTATGTGGCTTCCATGGTGTTCTCCTTGGCCCTGGGCTGGGCCAACATGCTCTACTACACCCGGGGCTTCCAGCAGATGGGAATCTACTCTGTCATGATCGCCAAGGTCAGTGCAGGGAGCGGCTGAGGAGGCAGCAGAGCCTCAGAGCAGGAACTTCTGCCATCAGCCCCATTTCCAGGGCACAAATGGCCGTGTCTGCGTCTCATGTGACTCTGCTAGCCTTTGTTACTATTTTCTGAGTGAAATGATAAAATTTAAGTGATGTAGAAAAACCCTCTGCTCTTCACCCACATGTTTTATAGTAGTATTGATAGGATGATGATGATGATGACTTTTATTACCTGCCATGCTTCAAAATAATTATAATTGGGTAAGCATGGATGCAAGGAGACTGAGAACAGTACAGGCTGCTCTGGTGTGAGATGGCCCAATTTTCTACCAGCTGGAAATTTCTCCAAGTATAGATAAAATGTTGCCAAACACAGCAATTAGCTAAGAGGCAGTAACTGGCTAATGAACCTCTCTGTCATGTAGCCAGCCCAAGAGGGGAAGAAAGATGCAACTGCCTTTATGTGGTTTGTACTTACAAAGAGGAAACTGTTCCCATGTGTATGTGTTGCACTTGTGTGTAAATAGTTTTTTTTTTTTGCATGAATACAAGAAAAATGTTTCCTGTATTAAAGTTTATTATCTCATCTGGATAAACAACAGTTTAATGCACGAACAGCCAGTTCAGAGCAAATGCATTCTTGAGCCAAAGCAGTATTTTCTACCAGTTTCTGTTGCAGTTTACATACAAGTTTTAAAATCTTTTCATCTGTTTCTGTCTTACAGATGATTCTTAGAGATTTATGTCGCTTCATGTTTGTCTATCTTGTATTTCTCTTGGGATTTTCTACAGGTAGTATTCTACTTGGAATTTCCTTTTGTTACCTTAAAGAATCTCAGAAAATTTTAGTTTTCAAGTTGCTTAGACTTTTTGTTCCAAGCTAAAAACTAACAAATTAACCTACTTAAAAAATCAAATTTCTTCAGAATAACGATAATCTGTAGTACTTTCATACAGCTTTTCATCCCTGGGTTGCAAAGCTGAATAGAAAACCAGTCATCCTTTTCTATGTGGAGAAAACGGAGTTAGCACCTGCTAAGAGGGTGTCAGTTCTGGAGAACATTTTAGAGGGAAGTTTCCCTGGGGCCAATGTGCTGTGGAGGGAATGTGCGTTATCTTTCTGCTCATTTTCACTGCTTGCAATGAAGTTACGATCTCAAACCGTGTTTCCATTGTGTGAATGTAATTCTCTTTTTGCTACAGCTGTGGTGACTTTGATTGAAGATGACAACGAGGGGCAGGACACAAATATCTCTGACTATGCCCGGTGCTGCCACACAAAACGAGGCCGCACCTCCTACAACAGCCTCTACTACACCTGCCTGGAGCTCTTCAAGTTTACCATTGGCATGGGGGACCTGGAGTTCACAGAGAACTACAGGTTCAAGTCTGTGTTTGTCATCCTGCTGGTGCTCTATGTCATCCTCACCTACATCCTCCTGCTCAACATGCTCATTGCACTGATGGGGGAGACTGTCAACAAAATTGCACAGGAGAGCAAGAGCATCTGGAAGCTCCAGGTGTGTTGGTTCTGTGAGGCTGCTGTCTAAAAAAAAAGGTGTGGGAAACCCTGGGAGATTTCACAGAGAATCTTAAGAGCTGATGTATCTACAGGTCACTGCTTCTTTTGGATTCACCTGAACAGGTCCTAAAAAAAAATGTATTGGTTCCTTTTCCATGTATATTTGATGTTTTGCCTAAGCAGACGTTCCCAGTGTTCCACAGATGTTCAGAATGTAAGAAAAGAAGTATTTTTGTAATTGGACAAAATTATTTGGGCTTTGTATGATGGAAAATCCTGATCAGAGTATGAAGAAAGAGATTATGCAAGGGGAAAACCAATCTTTACCAGAATCAGTTTTTGTTTGAGGTAAGAAAGGGAACTTCTAGTTTTATTCACAGGGCAGTAATTCAGCATTTTCAGTGACATGTTAACAAAGGGTGATGTCTGCCCTAAGATGCTGGCAATGATAAAAACTCGGGGTTTTTGAAACAAAGACAGAATTCAGGATTTGTTTGACTTTGACCAGCAGCCCCTCAGTGCTCTGCTTTCTCTTACCTGGCAGAGAGCCATCACAATCCTGGACATTGAGAACAGCTACCTGAACTGCCTGAGGCACTCGTTCCGCTCTGGGAAGCAAGTCTTGGTGGGGATCACACCTGATGGCCAAGATGATTACAGATGGTGCTTCAGGTAACCTCTTTGTTTGTGTATCAAGCCAACAATCTTTTGTAGACAGACTACTTCAAGTATCTGGTGGTGGGAAGCAGAACTTTCCCCCTGGAGCACTCTGAAGAATAGAGCACTAATAGTGTCTGCAGTGGTCAGTTTAGTCTGGTTTTTGGGTCAGATCTGAGGCTTGAGAGGTGATGGTTTGTGGTATAAACTGATCCTGGAGCTGTCTGGTGATCCTTAGAATAGATCTAGGGTTTGTTGTTGTCTCCCCAGGGTTGATGAAGTGAACTGGTCCACGTGGAACACTAACCTGGGCATAATCAACGAAGACCCTGGGTACTCTGGGGACCTCAGACGAAATCCCAGTTTCTCCATTAAGCCTGGCAGAGGTGAGGCTTTCAGGAACCCAAGTCCTGGTGTGGGCTGCACTCTGGTGATAGCAGCAGCATGGATTAATCGACAGAGGGCAGCCAGTGCTATGCACCTACTGGCAATGCAGTGACTGAGTTGATGGCGTTTTCAGCCTGCACAAAATGCAAAGGATGAAATGGGTTCATTGCTCCCAGTTTGGCTCTCTGGAGTAAAAACCAAGGAGCTACTTTGGACACCCCAAGTTCCAGAGTTTGGGAGCTCAGCATCCAGCACCAAAGCATTTAACTGTGCAGTCAGTACTTGCCAGCTGAAATATGGAAAACTTGTGGAACAGGATGGGGAAGAAAACCACAAAGTCCTTTCTTCCTGCTTCTTTCTTCTTTCATCAGCTTCCTGTTCAAACCACTTGTATATTTTCTTCTGTTTCTGGGAAGGGGGAAAAAATTAACCATTCCTTTTGTTTTTAGTTTCAGGGAAGCACTGGAAAACATTGGTTCCACTTCTAAAAGATGGAGAGAAGAGGAGAGAAGAGCCTCACAAGCTGCCAGAAGAAGTCAAATTAAAACCTGTTTTGGAACCTTTTTTTGAGCCAGAAGATTCTGAGGTGTTGAAAGAATCAATTCCAAAGTCAGTCTAATTCTGGGTACCTGTGCTGGTCCTCACAAGGACAATAGAGCACTTCATTTAAAGGAACAGGGACTTCTGGAGAAAGGTCAGATGACTTAGAGAATTACCATGTGCAAGGATTTATTTATTACACTAAGTATGCTAAATAAACTACTTGTTGTTTAAGCTCATGTCTTCATGGTTACTTTTAAGACAATCTTCTGTCTGCTTCTAGAGTCTCTTGTATTAAACAATTATTTTTGTGAGCATGCACAGGCCCTGATTTTCTGACTTTGCTGCCTCAAAAACCAAGCAACCAAATTATTGTGACATTGGAAAAGCACTCATAAAAGAGCAGTAAAAGTCACCAAGGGCCCAGAGAGATGTTCCTGTGGGGAAAGTTTCTTGGAAAGCAGATAACTAAATGGGGACATGGAAAGAATAGAAAATAATTTTCTCATAACACAAGAACAAATACAGTCTGTGAAATTTTAAAGGTTGAATAGTCAAAATCAATGAAAAAAATGTTTCTTTTACACTGTCTGAGTAAACTCCAGAAATTCACAGTTATTTTACTGAAGCTAAAAGCTTAACAAGACCCCAAATTTGACATTTATTTAGATAACAGATGAACTTTGCACAAAGTAAGAGATAGTGGTTATAGAGAATATATGTTTCAAAGGTCAGATGTATAACAATGTACAACAATAATAATCTTGAAATTAGAAAGTTTTTGTTCTTGGCTTTGACAGCAACGGGGAAAAATCTGGTGCTGAAAATCCTTCTGGCTGGATTTACAAAGAGAATCATGAAAAATATCAGAGGGAAAAGAGGCAGATGTTCTGAAAATACAGATGGGGGCCTTGGAAAGAGAGGAAAGAGTAGGAGGAACTTCAGCATCTCCTTGAAAAGTAAGTGAGCATAGAGGAACTAAGGACAAAAGAATTTATTTTATTGATAGCTGGCCCCATATTTCAGTGCTGGGCCACAGTGCAGCACTGGCTGTGCTGGGCAAGAAAAGGTAAATGGTTTTACCTTCTTTCTTTGCATCCCTAAAGCACCTGGAATAAGCAGCCTCTAACAGCCCCCTCAGAGTGCACACACAACTCTCCCTGAGTCAACCAGGTGTGTGACCAGGGCCTTCAGCTGTTCCTGGGGTTGCACCTGAAGTACAGATAATTTTCATCAATAACTCTTGTAATTTTGCTGAATTTACTAAAGTACTGGGACATTGCTGGACACTACTTTTAAAGAGAAGCAGTCAGTGTGTTTGTACAAAGGCTGCCCTGTGAGATGAAACTTTAGGTTGTGGGACATCACTTCTTTTACTGGAGTCAAGATTTCTCATGTGGTCCTTTCTCATGGGGCACTACAGAATATATTTCAAGGAAATCTTCAAATATCCAGCTGCTTTATTTGAAATAGTAGCACCATCTAGAGGACTAATAATTCTTGTTTCTTTGGTTAATATCACTCTGGACAAATGTAATTTTATTTTCACATAGTTTGTAGAGTAAACCAGAGAAAACTGACAATGTATTTGAAAGGTTTGCTTGAAAAAAGTCAGAATTTGAACTGGAAATAATTGGAATTTAATATCTCTGGTGGACAAGGAAGCCACAGAAGATGTTTAAAGTAGGTGTGTTCAGTTTCCTGTCTCTAAACCCTTGGTAGCAGTCTCTAGATGCCACTCAAGGCTTCATTATGCTCCACAGTGAGCATGGCGAGACAATCCACATGTAAAACAAGCACAGCTGAGTAGGCCAGACAAGCTGAGACACTGAAATAATTTATTATTTAAACTACTAAGAATAAACATAGAGAGGAGCTGACCAGAAAAACACAGTTGGTTATCCCCATGCTTTGTGTGCCATGGCAAATTTATGCTTGGAGGGACACCAGGATTATAATATATCTGGAAAGCATTAATGAAATTTCTGTTTTCCCTGGGAGGAATCCATTTTTCATAATTATCAATCTGGGTAGAGACCTAATCTATTGCTTAAAGTCCACCTTGATTTACATCAAGAGCCGTCCTACACCTCTGCCTTCCTGTCCCTTCCTGCTCCAAAAAAATCACAAAGGACTTCTTAAAACAGAAATGCTGAAATTCAGGCTGAAAACATATATCAGGATGATGCTGTGTGAATGTAAAAGCCCTGTATTCATGGGATAGGGTGGTGCTGGTGGGGTTTTTACTTGTATTTCCAAAATCCCTAAATCCTCTCTGGGAAGCAAACAAAACTATCCCACTTTTCTAGAGGGAGTTATTACCAAGCTGTCAGAATTTCCAGCTAAACCATCAGTTCAGCTCCTGCAATGGGCACAGATTTGTTTCCCACGGATGGGGAGGTTCAGCTTGGCAGTGACTCTACTTGAGGAAGTGTTTGTCCTTTAGGAACAGCTCTACCAGGACCAGCACCTTTCTGTTCCTACTGCTGAAACCTCCACTAAGCATGGCCTTGCAATAAATGATCTTTATTTGGTCTGTTTTGTGGAGGTTCTGCTCACCTTGACATATTTTGCAGGTCTTGAAAAAGTCTTTTAGTTTGAAGTTTGTGTAATTATTTCACACTGAACAGGGTTAGAAGTAGCACATGGCTCCTGTACTGTTCTTTGAGGTTTGCAGGTGGTAAAAATCTGTCTTCTCACAGTTACTAATTACATTAATTTGTGTCTACACTTAATAGGAGATGATCAGGTTGGACAACTGTATATAAATATATCTATAACCCCCAGCTCCCAATAACCACAGTGGAACTGGAGCAAGGGAAATGGAGGGTGTTGATGTGGTCACCTCCCATCAGAGGGTGACAGCTGTTATTAGCAATGACTGCAAATGTGTGTGGGATGGAGATAGCAGGAAGGGGTGAGCTGGGCTGAGCTTCCCTGGGAGGTGAAAATGGATCCATGAATGTGGGGAAAAACAAAAACACAGTCTCAGTATTGACAGCATTTCCATACCTGAGATGCAAGTGGTTGAGTCAGCTGTGAAAACTGTGCCTTTCAAACTCCAGTAGTTCCTGAATTATTGAGAATAACAGACACCCTGCCTGAAAAACCTTGGAGCCCCACATCCTGTTCTTCATGTGCCCTCTGCCACAGCTGCACTGGAGTCTGAATAGCCCCTATCCTAATTAAACATGAATGTCAATCCCTTCTGAGGCAGCTTTTAGTGGGGTCTGTGGCAGAGCAGGGCCCACAAGAGGCCCCACACCGTGTATGGGGCTACTGCTGTTCCCCTGGCCCTGGGACAGCCCCTCTCCCTCCAATGCCACTGTCCTGCTTTGCTGCCTCTGCTCAAATTCATGGCACACAATCAGATTTATTTGCCAAACTCCAGCTCATTCTGTCACTCTTCTGTGGTCTGGATATCAGACTCGCTCAAGGATCTCTGATAGAGGCCTCAATACTCAAATACTCAACACTCAAACCCCCACAAGGTGTGGGCTCAGCAAGTGCTGCTGTGCTACAAAGCAGGGGGGATCCTGCCAACCCCACAGCTTTCAGGGATAAAGCCAGTGCACTCAGCTTCTGAGGCTTGATGATTTCAGAATCCCATCAACAGGAATTTGACAGTTTTTGTTCAAAGTGTTGTACAAGTGTGTTACACTGGTAAATCTTCCAAATTCAAAAAAAATCCATTAAAAATCCCAGGCAAGCTGGGGATCAGGCAGTGTTGGGTATTTGAGACCAGCTTGCAGGCCTTAGAGAGAACCCTCTTGCAGTGAAAGATGCTTCTCATTGTCTCCATGTCTGCTCCATTAGGCACAGGCATGGATTTACCAGGCCTGGGGAGGAAGAGGATTTAATTGATGCTGACAGATACAACACAGACACCCTGGGTCTTCTTTAGGTGGTTTTAGGGCTCTGAAGTGCTTCCCATCACCCACACCATGCAGGCTGGGATTACTTTTCACTCTGGAGAAAATACGGACCAAATTTCTCCTACAGCAGACGTTAATCTTCAAAATATGTGGTGGTGAGCACTTATTTCTCTGGGAAGAAGGAGAAATCAACAAGCTGAGCTCACTGGACTTCTCCTGCTGTGTTTGTGATGCTGTGGCTCCATCTCCATTAATAACATTCCCTGTTTCCATGTGCAGGGCATGAGTGGGCACGAGGAGACGCCAACATTCACAGGATCATTGAGGTTTTTCAGGCTCCATCATCCCCCACAGCTGTGTTCCTCAGTCATTGCCATAATCAGCCTCTAAAATCAGCATTTTAGTCACCTGGATGTTGGTATGAAAGGTGGAATTGCCATGTCAGGCAGTGGGAGCAGCTCCCAATTACAGGAACTGAAGGAAGTGTCCGACTCACTGGGCCAGAAAGAATAGTTTCCAGCCATGTCACAGACTCCAGTAATTTCTTTCTAAGCTGACAGAAGAGGTTTAGCCCAGGCAGTTCCTCTTTTTCCAGAGGAGAATGTGGATAATGAACCACCCAAAGAAAAGGAGCCTCAGTTCCTGTTAGTCAGAGGGGGAAAACCTGGAGTGTTTAATGGGCAAAGAGGAGCACACAAGGAACACAAATCCCTCATTACCAGATACAGGGCTGGAAATAGGTAAAGCTTTCTCTAGAGGATGATTTGCAAGGACAGATAGAAACAGCTGTTTTTGAAATATGCACCCAATAACTGAAAACTGAGAGAGGAGATGATTTGTATAATAAAAGAGGTTTTAATTAGAATAATGGGATGAAACTGAGGCAGGGGAAATGTATCCTGAAAAGATGCTGAGGCACATATGATAGATGTCTTCCCAGAGAATTCCTTTTGGAATCACTGGAAGTTTCAAACACCAGCCCATGGATGCAGATTTATCCAGTGCCCTCCTGACTGTAGCAACAAGGGACCTGCAGGTTTTAGAGCTCTTGTTTTGGGGACCCAAAGCATCTGAGGGTTTATTTCAACTGGTAGATGTTCACTTTCAATTCTGCTTCATTTATTTGCCAGAAAGAACTTGACAAAAAAAACTGGAAGGGCCCTGTAAGGGCTTAAATTTGTTATAACTCCTGAGCATTTCATAGG